TTTTTAGAGTCCACATACAAGTGAAGTCATATGGTATTTATCTTTTTCTGATTTATTTCACTTAGCATAATAACTTTATGTTCATCTGTGTTGTCTCAGATGCAGGATTTCACTCTTTTTACAGCTGAGTAATGTTCTGTTGTACCACATCTTCTTTATTCAGTTGCCCAGTGGTGGGCACTTGGGTTGCTTCCATATCTTAGCTATTGTAAATAACTAATGACAATGAATGTAGGTACGCCCATGTCTTTTCCAATTCATGTTTTAGTTTTCTTCAGGTAAATACCCAAAAGTGGAATTGCTGGGTCCTTTTTTGTCTCTTGTTATAGTCTTTGTTTTGAAGTCTATTTTGTCTGGTATAAGTATTACTACTCCAGCTTATTTTTAATTTCCATTTGCATGTAATCTTTTTCCATCTCTTTACTTTCAGTCTGTGTATGTCTTTTGACTTTTAGTGCATCTCTTGTAGGCAGCATATGTATGAGTCTTGTCCATTCGTATCCACTCAGTCACATTATGTCTTTTAATTGGAGCATTAATCTGTTTACAGTTAAAGTAATTATTGATAGGTATGTAGTTATTGCCATTTTATTATTCATATTTTTAGTCTCCTCTTCTTGTCCCTTTAACATTTCTGTATTACTGATTCGGTGGTGATGAACTTCTTTAGCCTTTTCTTGTCTGGGAAGCTATTTATCTGTTCTTTGATTCTAAATGATAGTCTTGGTGGAGAGAGTAATCTTGGCTGTAGGTCCTTGTGTTTCATCATTTTGAACATTTCATGCTAATCCCTTTTGGCCTGAAAAATTTCTGTTGTGAAATCAGCTGACAGCCTTACCTATCTCCTTTGTAGGTAACTAATTGCTCTTGCCTTGCTTCTTTTAAGATTCTCTTTAACATTTGGCATTTTACTTATGATGTGTCTTGGTGTGGGCCTCTTTGGGTTCATCTTGTTTGGGACTCTCTGCACTTCTTGGACCTGTTTATCTATTTCCTTCACCAGGGTAAGGAAGTTTTCCATAGTTGTTTCTCCAAATAGCTTTTCAATTCCTTGCTTTCTCTCTTCTTCTAGTACTCTTCTGACATGAATGTTGGTGTGCTTGATGTTGTCCTGGAGGTCCCTTAAACTATCTTCAATTTTTTTCATTCTTTTTTCTTTTTGTTTTTCTGATTGGGTGTTTCTGCTACCTTGTCTTCCAAATCATTGATTTGATCCTTTGCTTCATTTCCTCTACTGTTGATTCTGCTAAGGTATCCTTCATTTCAGTTATTCTATTCTTCATTGTGACCAGTCCTTTTTTATATTGCCTATCTCCATCTTTATGTTTCCTGTCTCTTTGTTGAAGTTCTCGCTAAGTTCACCTACTCTCCCCCAAGTTCATTGAGTATCCTTACAATCAGTGTTTTGAACTCTGCATCTGGTAGAATGCTTGTCTCCATTTTATTTAGTTCTTTTTCTGGAGTTTTATTCTGCTCCTTCATTTGGGGCATGTCTGCTGCCTCATTTTGGCTGCCTCCCTGTGTTTGTTTCTATACATTAGGTCTATGTCACTGGGTTTTGGCAGAGTGGCACTTAGCAAATTCAGATGTTCCTTTCAAGGAGCAGTTTAAGTCTGGATAGCATTATGCAGAAAGAACTGATGGTTCTTTCTGTCCCAAGCAATTTACACATACTTCTAGTTAGGTGTGACAACATAATTTATCATCCAAACCCAGACTTATTGAAAATGAAAGGGGACAGAAATAACCATTAAGTCAGGACAAAAGGTGTCCCTGACAAAACAGGAAGTATGGTCATACTACTTTGAAAGCAATTATTTAGCAACTGTATGTCTCTTCTTATTCAACTGTGAAGCTATTCTAAGTCTGGGCCTTATTGCTCTTAGCTTCTGTTGTGGCCTAGAATTGTGCCTGGCACATAGTGGTAGTAGAAGAAATGTTAGTGCCACTTTAAAAATACACAGTTAATTGCATATTATACTATCTTGCTATAGAACTCAAACCATCCCATTTGTGGCCTATTATGAGCCATTTTCTCAGTATTACAAATATAGGGCAATGAGCTTAATTATATGCTTGTATAATGATAATAGCTAGTATTTACCAGCACTTACCATGTGCCAGGCCGAGGACTAAGAACTTTGCTAGGGTTGTCTCATTGATTTCTTCCAACAATTCTTGGAAATAATGACTACTATGATCTCATTAAATTAGAAAAATATAAAGGTTTGGAAACGTTCAGGGCCTTGCTCAGGGTCACCCAGCTAATTATCTGGTAGAGTCTGAACTCCAGACTCGATGACTCCATACACCACCTCTCCTGTGTGTGAGAAATAGTGGCATCGAATTTTAGAAAGTAATTTTTAAAAATGTTAATAGCATACACTTAGAAAAAAACTCATTTGTTTTAACTATTTAGAAGGAAAATGTATTTACATGAAAGATAAGAAAATCAGGCCAGTGTGGCAGCTATGTGAGCTTATGAGTAGTGATTGCAGTTGGGTAAACCAACACACCGCTCCCTGTTGTCTTTGGTGTTAGTGTTTATATTGTTTGTTATGATACAAATATATCATGTTGTTTTTGTTGAGATAATTTTCTTGTTTACGGACTAGTCAGTGTGTGAAACACTTTCTTTCGTACTGTAACTTACTGTTAACAGCATTTCAATGCATATTTTGTGAACAGTGTTTATTTTCTACCTTGGCCTTTTGGAATAAGATTTTATTTGGTAACAATTTTAAGGACTGTACAGACACATAATATTGACTCTGAAAAATTATTATTTGGTTTAATTGTTATTACAAACAATATTTTGACTTTGATGGAACACTGCCAATGGTTTTTAAAAGTTGTCTATTTAATTTTATAAAAAATAATCTTAATTGTAAGGGATAATCTGTACCCTTAAATTGTTTTAAATCATAAAGAATAAATTAAATATGTAAAGAGACTATGCTATAAATATAATACAGAGCAAGTAATTATAAATACAGACTTTCATACGAAAGATATCCTACCATTAAATGTAATTGTCTTAATTTACTTTTTATTTCCTACTAATGGGAAGGATGTATGAGTAGTAACTGAAATTAGATATTTTCAAAGTATTCAATCACATTTTATAAACAAAATATGAAAAAATCTGAAAATAAATATTTATATAATGACTATTAACCTTTACGAATAAGTGATAGGAAATACTAATACTTAAGGCATCACACAAGATGACCACATTTGTAATTCAAAGGAAGGATTACAAACACATATATCAAGTTCAGAATTTCCTGTTTTGTTTGTCCTAGGTAACTCCTATAATTAACATGCCTTTCACACCAGAAGCTTTCCTCTAGTTTATCACATTACTCTCACTCAGTGAAATAGAATACCAGAATGTCATTGATTAGAAAAATTGCATTAAATGTCAAACTATCACTATACTCAGGATAACTAGAGAATCAAAATGCTTATGTTATGATGTGAATCAGGCTCTTATGGTAAATTGATAGAAATTGGAACTGAGAGGAAGTTTAAAATAAAAAATTGGTCATTGTTTTTGTTGCTTTGAACTTTTCATTATGTCCAAGGGCTTAAAATTTTTTTCATTTATTCTAGGCACTTGGGATACAACAGTTAGACAAAACAAATTCATCTAATATTGGAGAAGACCATATGTACAAAATAAATAAAGATTGTTGCAAGGTTTGAAGAGTCATGGGAGGAAAAGAAAAAGCAAGGACTGGGAGTTGCGGTTTGGACAGTGCAGTTTTAGACAGCGTGGTCTGGCTAAGTAAGCATTGTTGTTAAAGGTGAGATAATATACAAAGAGTAAAAGAGAGGTGAAGGACCTTGGGGAAGAATGTCCCCTGCAGAGGGAATGGCTTTGTAAGTCACTCTGTAAAGATCCTAGTTTTAACAAGGACTGAAATAGGGAGCTATTGGAGGATTTTGACTAGATGAGACAGGAGCTGACTTTTCTTGTAAGAGGATATTCTTTCTCTTTCTTTGGACAGTGGACTGAGTTAACGATGGGCAGGCAGAACATTTATAGGCTTTTGAAGGCCAGAGAAAGTGGAAGTAATGCAGATGAGAAGAGGTGTGATTCCGATTCATTTTAAAGGTGCAACCAACAGCAGGTTTGCTTGACAGATTGGAGGTGAAGATGAGAGAATCAGAGGAGCCAGGGATGACTGCAAAATTTTTGGCCCGAACAACTAGGAAGGACTGTGGCATGGTCTTGAGTTGCACTCATAAGATCAGTTGAGAAGGGGAAGATGTACATTTCTATATTCCAAGTATTATGCGCATTTTAGTAAAATACTGGCTGCTACCTAGGGGCACTCCAGTGTGTTTCTGATTTCTGGGATATATACTCAGGAGTCTCAGAGATCCGGAGACAACTAATTTCGCACATTTCAAGTGCCAGGTGGATGTTCTCTGCCCTAAGCCAGTTAATGACGGATTCAACGACTCTGACGTTTACATTAAAAATAAAAATAAAAACAGTGGTCCGATGATATCAGGGCACCTTTCTCAACTGCCACTACTGACAAGTAGTCCGAAGGCTCAGCACCAACCTCGCTTGGCCGGGGAGAGTTCCCGGCTCCACTTCGACTGCGGGCACTGTCCCTCCGCGTGGTTCGGGGAAGGGGCGTGAGCAGCTGCGGACCACCCGTGGGTAGGACGGGCTCCTGCACTCTCCCACCAGCCCTGGTCGCCATTTTCTGGCGCGTTCTTTCCCACGCGTGCTCCAGCCCAGCTCTCTGCCCTCTGCTTGTCTGGGAAGGAGCTTTCTAGTCCGCGCAGCTTGAGGGTGCGGCACATCGCTGGGGTCCGAGCAGAGTCCACGCCCCGGGCTGGCAGGGGGCGGGGCCTGGGACCGGGCCGGGGGCGGGGCCGGCTGGCGGCTCGGCCCTCCCGCGGCTCAGGGAGCGCGCCCCGCCCTCGCCCCGCCCCTCGCCCCGCCCGCGCGCGAGCTTGGGCGGGGAGGGAGGGGCCAGGAAGCGGCGGCGAGTGCGCCGGGGAGCGCAGCTGCGGCCGTGGGGGTGGTAGGAGCCGCGGAGCCGGCGCTGAGAGCGGCTGTGGCCGGAGCGGGCGGGCGAGACAAAGACGAAGGTAGGTGCAGCGCCGGCCTTGGTCGCACACCGGTTCCCACTCCTCGCAGTCGAGGCCCGTTGGGCGGGGGTCCGAAGCTGCGGATCCCTGCCGCCGAAGGCTCAGGGGGTAGCGCGGCCCGGCCCTGCCCGTCGCGCGCTGCGGGCTGTGTGGGCTGAGCTTGCGGCTCCATTTTCAGGTCTGGGTGAGGTCCTCACACGGACCCTGCCTTTGGGTTTTCTTCCATTCCCTCTGAGAAACAGTTCCATGCTCAGTTCCAAATTCACTGCCGGCGGGCGAGTGAGTAAGCCAGCCGCCAGCCGACGTAAAACGGCAGTGAAGACCCCCTCCCCCCAACTTTGCAGGTCTGGAAGTCGGGAGGGCGGCCCAGGGGGAGGGCGAGGAGGGCCGGAGTCCTCCAGGTGAGGGCAGGCGCGGGCGGGGACCCCCTGCTGCGGATCGGCCCGCTCGCCCGCGCCTGCGGCGTCCGGCGTAGTCCGCCCGCGGGTCTCGCGGCCGCTCTTTTGGCCCCGGAAAGAAAGCCCCGACCACCTCCCCGGAGGGGCTGTTGCTACTCTTACAGGTTGTTTTACCCAGCGCTTGCTGCTTCAGTTGTGATTTTTGGTAACGGGTGTGGTAGGTAAGCGACTCGCTGATGCTGCATTAACAGTGGAAAGAAGCCCCAGTGGGCTGATTTCTGTAGAAGAAACAACGTTGGGATTCCTCTTTAGCTGAGATTGTTTTAAATGATCAGCTTTTGCAGGGGAATTTGGTGCTGATGGTCAGTTCAAAGAATTTACACGTTTTTCCCGAGGGCCTGGCATACAGTAGGTGCCCAGTAAAATACGTGAATGAAGACTGAATCTTGAAACATCAGACAGAGCAGATCTCAAATCTAGTAAAATTTGGGCACATATTCTCTTGACTCTAAGTGAAAAAATATCTCAAACAACATGTAGTTTGCTTAAATGCTTGTTTCTGTTGTGTGGGTTTACCCAAAATTTGTGTTGATGAGTAATCAGTTATTATTACCAATATTAGGGGTGTAGAAAATGATTAAATGTGGAATTTTTCATCTTGATGGTAGACCTCTTCTGTTTCCGGAAAACGAACCTTATTTCTAATTTTCATTAAAAAGAATGGAGAACATCAAAGGTGCTTGGATTGTTTTTTCTGCTGAGAACCAGCTTTCAATTTCATTATTAATAAAGAAGTTCATGTGCTTTTAAGGGACTATGGTATGATCTTGAGTTGCGTTTCAAGCCAGGGAGAACTTCAGACTTAGGGGAGAAAGAAAACTAATGTTGCACCAATATAATTAAACCTCACCGTTTACTCAACAGATACTCATTAAGTACCTATTATGTACTGACACACCTGTGCTGGATGCTGAGCGTGTAGGGGGCAAACAAAACCCACAATTACTGTTTTAAACGTGAGTGTGAAGTGCTTTCCTCATTGTCGGTGTTGCAAGTGGGGACTGTCTTGTACCCGAGTGCTACTTGAAGTTGGGAAAGATGGCAGGTGAAGCTGCAGGAAGTGGAGCTGCAGAACAGTCGGTTTAAAGGTAACTAATTATAGGGCTAAGATCATTGGGTTACATTTTCATATTGTCAGTTTAATACAGTCTGTCTGAAGAATGGAGGAATCTCAAACTAGTATTTTGATTCTTTCCCTCTCCCATATTAAATGATTTTGGTAAGGTGTATTTATTGAAAAAGTCATGCACTTCTGGTTCTGTTTTCTGTAAATAGTCTTTGCTATGGAACATTTTCTATTTTTAAAAATCTCCAAGGAGAAACAGTGGATCCCTTTTCTATAAGAAATGTTTTTAAGTAAAGCACCTTTTTATAGATTTTATTTTGACTTTTATTCACCATGTGTAAATAATATAGTAATGACTTGATAGTGGGGAAAAGGGTAGGCCTTAGTAATAATTAGTGGTTCTACATTTGGATTTTTCCTGTAGTATTACAAGTGTGGTAAAAAGAGGATGAGATTTGTAGTATGGTATTCATTAATTCTGAATGTATGATTAAAAAACTGTCTTATTTGGCCCCTTTATAAGTCTAAATTAATGTGCTCTGGAGTCAATCCTCATCATGACAAAATAATGTAGATTATAATTTTTTTTACAGATAAGTTTGGAATTTAGGGTGGACCCTTTTGAGTTACCAATGTTTATAAGGCAAAGTTTACATTCAAATAGAATTCAGATCTTTAGACTTACTGGCTGTTAGCTTTTTTATGGTTGTTCCTAGAAATAAGGGAAGTCGTCTCTCCAATTTAGTGGTAGAGAGTTGTGATAGTTTTTTGTTTTAATATGCATTTTTTATAGAAAGAGTTATTTGACAATATACTCAATAGTCTGGTGTCGATGAGAAATCTAAGAGTAAATGATACTAGTAATAATGAACAATGTAAGCAAGCTGTGATATGTTGAATAAAAAATGCTTGGCATATTTTTATTTGGATAAGAACATCAGACTTGTTGACAACAAGAAACATGCATTGGCACATGTTAAAATAATTTTTTCAAGAAATTACAACTATTTATGACTATTTTTTTGTACCTTAAAAAATACTAAAAGTGTTTTCAGAGTATTTCTTTCTACCTTGGAGTAGTTCATAATGTTTTGAGGTTAAATAAATTCTAGGATCCTCCTATTTTATAACTGTTTGGATATTTGAAATGTTGGTTCTTTCTTCATCAGGGTTTGTGTGTGTATTTGGGGAAGGGGTTCTTTTTTTGTAAGGCCCTTTAGAATGACTTAAAAGCCTTTTATCAGATGTAATTAATAAAGTGATTAAGAATGATGCTGATGTGGCACATTGCAGCTGTGTCCATATTTGCCTGTGTAGATTGTGAGAGCATATCAATTAGCATTTGTGTAAACATTTCCAAAGCACTTGATAACTAACTTCTCATAATTATTCTCTAGGATAGGTTGCTATTGTATTTTTAGGTCCCAGTTGTCTTTTTTTTATTAATCATGAAAGTTTAGGTTTCTCATCTGCTTTAGGATGAGCCTGAGATATTTTGTTAAGGCTTTATAAGATTTTTCTCACAATTGCAAATGCATATTGATTTTGATCTGTTACCAGTGTTCTTAATCTCAGTTCTCATGAAAGAAGTATTTTCACATTTTGTTGAATGTTTAAATGTCAGTAATGTTTTAGATCTGTCTCAGAGGGAGACATGGGTTCCTTCTGCATTCTTGAGAGGAAATGAGTGAAACATATGTTTATCCTTAATACTTATTAGTGAGGTGAGGGCGTTTATTCTGTTTTTTTTTTTTACCCCCCATACTATCTGGAAAACCTTGGAATTTAGCTTATTAATAATTAACTTTATGTATCCTGCTTCCTCAGTTCAAAGCTTAAGTATACTTGAACCTTTCTATAACACTAGCAAATGAAGAACAGAGCAGGATGTAGCTGAAACTGCTCTGGGGCCCCATCTGAAGGCAGTTTCTGAAGTGAAACCCAAAGACTTGGCAATAAATTGTCTTCCTCCTGACAGTATAAAACACTTGTAAGTGTATCTTACTCAAGATGGATTATGGTAAAACAAACTCCCTCTTTTTCCTAGAAAGCATTAAATAACTCCAGGTTAAATTTAGGCATCTTTAAAAATGACTAAATGATGGGCACTGGTATTTCCATTTTGTAGCTTATCTACTTAGAAATTCATGTTAGGGTTTCTTATATCTTGTGATTAAACTTTTGTACACCTCTCCTACTAAAACAAAATCACTTTGCTTTATTTGACTTAATCTATTTTCACATTTTGTTTAATAAAGCAAAAGTAATTTTTTTTGTCTAATCGGCACTGTTTTATATATATTTTGCACCTGATCCATAGTAGGAACCCATGGATATTTGTAGAACTGGTATGTTCCATGGATGGGACTCGATACAAGTTCAAGCAGAAATGACTGACTTGCTCTCACTGCACCTTGGAACCCTCCCTGTAGATTAAGTCTTTCCCCGTTGCTTTAGCTCTTAGGAAGATCCTTTTTCTAGTAGCTTTTAAGTAGTAAAAAGTGTTCTGCTCACTTGTCAGCATGAGTCTTATTTTAGTCATTAGAAGATAAGTGTAGTATAATAATCGGTGTTGAAACTCTGACAGTTCAGAACTTTTCTTCCCCAGCTCAGAACTGATTCAGATCTAGAAGCCTGCTTTGGAGGAAGAGTCTCTTTTTGTAACAGTTTGCCATCCTCACAGTCCAGGATCCAGCTCAGTGGGGAAAGGAGGTTGGGAAAAAGGTATGGTTTTAATGTGGCTTGTGCTGTCCTGCTCCGGCATTGGTGCCTCAGTTGATCAGCTTGTTCAGAGCTGATCTTTCTCCAGGAGTACTGGAAATGGTTTTCTCGGGAACTCCATGTCTGGGAACCTCCAGCTGCAGTTCCTGTGACGTCATTCTTCTGCTCTGGCTCCTTGGACTTCCAGTTTCCCTCCTGGGCAGGCTCACTTTGCCCAGGGAGTGGTCTTGCTTTAGTCTTTAACGTAGTTCTGTAGCATTTAACCAGACCTGCCTGTACTTAATTAAGGTTGTTTCTTACAATGCAGTTTCAAGCATTTCACCGGGGCCTCATCCAATTTTCCAGTTCATTCTGTTAAATACCCCAACTTGAACAGCACTTTTATGTCTGGGACCTATATTCCATTGCTGCTACCACCTTTTTTTTTTTTTTTTTTTTAAATTTAAGATTTCATTTATTTTAGAGGGGAAGGGAGGTAGAAAAAGGGAGAGAAATGTTGATAGGTTGCCTCTCACATGCCCTCAACTGGGGACCTGGCCTGCAGCATAGGCAAGTGCCCTGACTGGGAATTGGACCTGCAGCCTTTTGGTTCACAGGGCAGTGCTCAGTCCACTGAGGCAACGCCAGGCAGGTCACCACCACCTTTTTATTGTTCCATGGTCCACTGTTAGGATTTCTCCCATTTTTACATCTTCAATTCCCTGGTAACACTCCTTTTACTGTACTCACCTGGCAGCCTCCAGCTCACCATGTAGTCTGGCCTTCACCTGGCAGTTGAGTGTGCCTTGAGGAAAACACACCCATGCTGACCTGCTCTTCCTTTAAATCGGTGACACCGACCTCAGGAGGGCCCTCCCTGCTGCCCACAGTCACTCTGCCACTCCTCCGAATGACTGCTGTACCCTCTCTCCTCATGCCTGTAGCACCTCTTTTCTCTTCATTTTCAGCTGATGACCTTGTTTCCTGTATATTAAAAATGAAAGCAATCAGAAGAAAATCTTTGCATGTCTCTGTACATCTGCGCCCATACTTGCTGCATTTCCGGGTGTGCTGTGACCATTGCCTCTGCTCTTCTCTTTGTCTCCTCTTCCCTTTCTCCTGTCAAGACCATTGCATTACTTCAGCATCACCCCATTTGCCCGCCCGCCCGCCCTCCTGCCTGCCTGCCAGCCAGCCAGCATGCATGCTGCATCGTCAGTGTGTGTTTCCCATTTCTACTGATTATTCCTTTCAGCATATAGATGTGCTGAAATATTGTCCATTTTTAAAAACAGCAACAAAAACCTCTCCAACACCCATCTTTCTTCACCTGCTACACTCTGAAAGTTATTTGCAGTTACCAGTACTCCCAGTCTCTTTAGGATCCCCTACAATCAGGTTTTTTCTTTTCTACTCCACGGTAACTGCTCTCGTTGAGATAACTAGTGACCTCCTTGGTGATAAATTCCCTAGTCAGTTCTCAGTCCTAATTCCACTGGAAGTAGCAGCAACAGCAGCATTTGACGTGGTTGATAATTTCTCTTCTTTGAAAGCTTTCTTCCCTTTGCTTCTGAGACACTACTGGTTATTTTCAGTTTCTTTTGCTGGCTCCTTTTCATTGCCCCAATGTCTAAAACACAAGGCTACATCCCAGAGCTCCATGTTCAGATCTCTTCACTATATGCATGTTAATCTCTTGTGGACTCATCCTGTCTATTCTCTAGCCGGAGTTATCATATATTTCAAACTAAAAATGTTATTTTTAGTCTGGATCTCTTTCCTACCTCCAGACTTACATACCCAACTGCACAACTCATCCTCTTTCCCTCCTCGCCCATCCCATTGAGTGTTCCTTTTCCAGCCTTCCTCATCTTACTAAATGTCAGCTGTATCTTTTACTTTCTCTGGCTGAAACCTCATAGACATTCTTGACTCCTCTCTTTTTCATACTCCTTATCTGTAATGCAGCATGAAAGTATTGTGTCGGCCAAAAACTCCGTTATGTTTTTTATGTCATGCAGGGCTGTAGTAGTGCTTAGTTGTCTTAAACTTCATTCGAAACAACTTTGTTATATTGTATTGTGACAGCTGTCATATGAGTGTACATTAAGAAAAATGATCAAATTGGTGAATTTTTGTGCAGCCATTTAAATATTTAAGATGGAAGAAAATATGCAACATTTTGTCATATTGTGCTTTATTATTTCAAGAAAGGTAAAAATGCAACTGAAGTGCAATGAAAGATTTGTGCAGTGTGTAGAGAAGGTGCTGTGACTGATGGAACTTGTCAAAAGTGGTTTGTGGAGTTTCTTGGTACTGTTA